AAAATACTAAAAATCATTAAATATTTTGATTAATAGAAAAAATATTTTAACTATCAAAAAATGAAGTGTAAGTTACATTTTTCGATTTATTTGACGCAATGTCCTGTGTTTTATGTTTATAATATTTTTTTGATTATTTACATATTTATTCTTGACGTTTTATGATTTAAAATTTGTTACACATTTTTTAGTTATTAGTCGACCCAAGTTTTGTTTTCAACCATCAATAAAATCATAAAAGTAACTTAATTATGTAAAATATTAAATATTATTATATTTATTTTATGTAGTTTTGTAGCTTAAAATGTTTATAATAGATTTGAAAATAAGCCCATGCCCCATATCTACTTAAATTAGGTTACATAATTATTATAAATTCAAAGTAGCATATTATGCACAACAGTTTAGCTTTTTTCTTTTTTTTTTTTTATTGATCTTTATAGCTTCGGCGACATGGGCCATTAGCTTTATACATAATTTACATTATACTATTWCTTAAAACTTACATGTTTTAGGTGACAATTTAATKACAAYWATAAGGGCTGTTGACTATATTTATTCTAATTAAATGYATTTATCTATTTTGGTTGTCCTGAGGAGTGACATGATTGTTTTATTTCTTCTATTATATATTATAATATATAAGTTTTATTTACACCATTGATTGAAATAAATGTCTAGGCAGTACTTTTAGTTGCCTGAGAATATAATATTATGGTCTAATGATTTACAATATTTTTTCTTATAGAACGTTTTGGGCTATTTAATTTTAATTCAACTTTATTAACTGTAATTTTATAAAAAATTTAGAATGATAATATATTATTTAAAATTAAATTCTCATAAGTACACTTAATTTTAAATATATTCACATTCAAATTAAGAGGTTTTGAACTTATAACTTGATTCTCTAGAAAAATTATAACAAATCTAATACTGATGATCGATGCAGATAAATCTAAACAATTGAGAAAATAATAAAAAGCTTAGATTGTGTTCGATTTGATTTATGTAGCGAAAATGAGTTCAAGAATATGGCAATTAACATGTAAATCGCAAAATCTACATAATCTKATAATCTGTACGCGTCCAAYGAATTCATAATATCACAAGTATATATATATTAGAAAATTTCGTTTTAATTATCAATTAATTTTGTCCTTAATTCTCAGCCAGTAGTAACAATAATTTATTTTGTATGATAATGCTCACGTTACTAGAAATTTCATTATAACCAAGAAATATAAGGAGATATTATTCTCTTCACTCAATCCATGCTTCCTCTTATTAAAGTCTATTATTTCGTCAGTGAATTTTAACTCTAGCGA